TTAACTTTTTTATCTTATTTCTTGAAGTATCATCAATAAAGTAATTCTGGAGAATTTTCGCTAGTACCTAAAAATTTTCGTAAGTTGCTTTCTCACTTCTGACAAACTTCCGTTTCAAAACCAAAATATTCAAAAAATCTATTTCGTAAGGAATTTGAGTAAAGTTCGATTTTTGAGAAGTTCGCTAAGAAGTGAAATGGCTTAAGCGCTTAATGTAGTTAGTAATGTTTTGTTATCGCAGTCTGCATCTATAACATGAAAGCGCCTGTTTATGTATTAATAAAATAATAAAAATACACTAAATTCATTTTATTTTTTCTGATATTAGTATTATTAATGGATAATATTAAGAGCACAATTCCAAAATTTTAAGATAAATTTGGATTTTTATCAATTCAAACTTACTTTCAAACGAACTTCATAGATTAAAATCTATAGAGTTATAAAAAATTCAACTTAAATGACGAATCGTAACTGGTATAATTTCCAAGAAGAACAGTTGTTGTTTTTCGAAACTTGAAAACATTGATCTGCTTTTTAGATGCTTGCGATCTTTCTCATCTTGAACTAAATTAATTTGAGCTAGTTTAGATTGCAAACTTATTACACAGTTTGTTGATCTTAACTACAAATAATTGAAATACTAATGTATCACTGAAATTTAGTTTTTACGAAATGAAATAAATGCATAAATTAAATAAGTCTCACTTTATTTTCACTTTATGTATTACCAAGTGGAGTGACATTAACACATCACAAATTTAGGCATCCATGTTATGCATTTCTCAGCAATTACAAGATTTCGCTAAGAGTAATTGAAACATATTATAATTTGTATAATTTTATGGCCAAAAAGCTAAAATGCATGCGTCATTTTTTGCCAAAATATTAAAAAATTGATGCAGTGATAGAATTAAAAAACTTGACTATGTAATGGCAAATCAAAGTGATTGCTTTTGCTTGAAGACATTTCTATTCTTATATTTTTATCATTTTTCAGAATGTCAAAAATCTAGCAGACATTATAGCTAACGTTGGGGAAGAAAAAGTTCACACACTCTTACACTAAGAAGAAAAATCATTTTCGAACAATAGAAAAATAAATCTGAAAAATTTGCTCCAAGTGTTTAAGAAGTAAAAATTTTCTTCAACAAAAAATTACAGCAGAAAGATCACTGTGACAAACGCTTGTCACACTGATTATTGCAAAGAAATAGTAATGAATTAATATGCTGATAACAATTCTTATCTCTGTAAACATCACAAGTTTTAACTTAAAATGGGTAAGTTTGACCGAAAAATCTTGGCGAGCTTTTAATATCAGAAAATATTTGACACTATAACTGGCGTGATAAATGAGTAATTCATCAGTACAGTTACAACTTTTGGTGTTTTTTACGTAATCAGTTTGCTAAAACCAGCATGACACAAATTTCTTCGTCAAAATGACATCATATTATGGGTTTCAGATTAATCTTTCACTGTCATAACGATTATACGTACTATTTATGCAACATTAATATCAAGAAAAGCATTGTTATATGTCGGTGATGAATGTTAATTGATCCGTTTGGTAGTTCTAAACATTTGAAATAATGATGAAGAGCCATTTTTTCCAAATGAAGAAGAACTATGATAATAGCAATTTGTTTCAAAGGAATTTGGGCATTTGCTCGCAATTACAGAATTGTTTTTACAGCTTGAAATTTATTCAGTTTTGTAATCCACAAAGTCACATTTTTTAAATTAAATTAACTGTAAGTTGGAAAAATCTTGCAAGTTGATGTAATTTTTCAGCAAAGTTGAAGCCATATGTTAGTTACTTGACAAGCTGTAAAGTTATGAGTTCATCTATTGCTAAAATTATTAAAAACAATCTTAATGCAATCCTTTGTTTTGGCAAGTCAAGTCCTCTACTAGTCTTCAAATTAAAATCTGCCACAGTACACACAGCAAAATGATCAGCCATTATTTCTAACCACAAGCTTTTCTGAATACTTCTCACCTTGGGTCTTGTGAAAGTTCCTGATTTGTGCTGTAGGCATGAATAATAACTGAAACACTTCAATAAGCAGACAATTACCTGAGTACATTACACTGCTAATTTAGCTACAGAAGGAGAGACAAGATAGAACGAAGTGCAAGAAATGGAAGTAAATGCATGGATATAAATATGATATAAATGTGAGTTTATAGGGCTTTTTCATCAAACTCATTAGTTCATTCTCAACAAGCAAAAATGACATAGCTGCTCGCTCGTGCTGTTTCGCTTTTCAGAATTGAGGGGAGTGAAAGAGTGAGAGAGTGAGAGAGTGAGAGAGTGAGAGAGTGAAAGCGGGAGAGAGGGAGAGATTGGGTGAGTAGTACTTGTTGTTGTTGAGTGTAGTGTCGTGGGCAGGGGGGAGGCAGCGTTTGTGTGTGCGAACGCATACTCTTTCGCATTTGTGGTCATAGCTTATTTTCAAGCTATTTTAATCATTTCAATCCGAAATGGTTGCTAGCTAAATCTTTGAGATTGTATTGCGCTTACTTCACACTTTAAAGCCTTTTTCAGAAAACAACTGCCATATTTCTTTACTGCAATGATAAATTCATTTCAAATGTCATGCTGAAATATGCATATTTTTTCACATTTATGGCTAGCAAAGGCCTGCTTTATTAGCTAAGAATGAGACGGACAAATAGCTGAGTAATTCCAATTCTGAAGCAATGAGTTTTTAGCTAAACACGGCATGGCATGTGCTGATTCGCTTCATCGAACTGCAGAAACAATTCACTGACGGCAAATATCGTGAGTAAATGTAGCAGAATCTGCAAAAAAGAAGATGTTAATTTGATGATATACGTGATTGAAAGGGAATGCTTAGTTGATCAAGTAAACTTATTAGTGCTTTGTATTCTTGATTCAAGCAGCCATCTGCTTAGTGCAATACCAGTATAACTCATTTTTCGATCAAAAATAGGCTTAATGCAATTATTTTGCTGCCTTGCTGCATTTGCTGATATGTGAAAAATAAATCATAGAATTCGGGATTTAATGGATGAAAACTTGTTTTTGATATGCTAACTCAGTCGCTTGGAACTTTTTCCATCCTCCTGCTTTCGAAGGGTTTGCTCACTACTGCAAGGTTTCTGTTTTGTACAAGAAATCATATTTTCCAAGATAGCACTTCTGATGACTACTCTTGAGAGAAGAATAAATTCATCCTCGCGTAGTTTATTCTCATAGCCTGCATGCAGTCGTCACTCAATCTTAACGTATGATTCTAACTAAAGTCGTTCTATATCAATTCAATTTTTACTTCGCTGAATAACTGAAATTTTGCTTCAATCGCTCATTCAGCATGGCAAATATCAAATCGATCTTACTGTGTTGCTTTAAATTGAATTCCACCAATGTGATCTTACTACTATTAACTAATTAATCCCGGCATTTATTTATAATTGTTTTCTATATGACTGATGAATACTTTGTAATCAGCTAGTTTGCTGGTCAAACTTGAAAATTGTTATGCTTGTAGATGGAACCTTTCATATTTCTATTCTTTCTTGATTTGATTAATCAAAATTTATTGTTGCCGCATCGTAATTTGTTAATCAGAGCTAGTTGAACTGTAACGTATGCTTCATTTGCACTTGCATGGATGAAAGATGAACATGTGAGCAGCCAGGTCACATACATTCATCTACACTTATATAAAAAGTTCAGTTCAAGTTCCAGTGTCAACTTGTGTTTACAAAGTATTTGTAGATGTGCAAATTGATTCTCAAATTTGACGCATTTTTGTCCTTCATATGCAAATATCAGTTAATGCTACCACAAAATAAAGACTTCTTTATGCATTCATCCACACTTTGGGTTTCAATTCGTTCAAACTGTGTCAACCATGTTGTATATAAATGGGTTTTAGACTGCATTTTGATTTCCTTCTGAAATAGCATGTGATATTTCAATTTTGCTACTTTGGCATGAAGTTAATGTATGAATGAATGATTAGCTAAGACATTACTCTCTTGTCACTGAAACTGCACTTCTCTGCAGAGCTCACAAATTCCATCAGTACTGACTAGAGTATAAGATAACATGATTCCATAATGTACAACCTCTTCAATTCCAAGCTATAGGTTGGAAATTATTTGTTCTATAATATGGCTGTAATTCATGGGAAAGTGCTGATTAGAATCGTTGAGAACTTTCTCAACAAATAACTTGGATAATTAAAGAGAACAAGACTAGACAATTTAAGTAAATTATATGATGAACACTCCCGATTTATTGAAAAAATAGCTGGTCACAAAATGTTTACCTACTAACAAACAAACATACCCCACCTACAATTATACCCACAAACACCACTTATACAATTAAATGTGCCGTACCTTTTCCAGCCGTGTGAATAGCTATATAATCACTATGTGGCATGTTCCATTACCAGAGTCGATACAAAGTATTCATGAAATGGTAATAAGTCCTCTGAATTTTACTGTAAACACTAATTCTATAGAATCAAACGCTAACCTTCTCATGCAATTCTACAGGATCAAACGTAAACCTTCCTACCAATTGTCCTGCAGATCACTTACCACTTGTCAATTTTATGCAACCCATTGCTGCAACTCTAACTGGAAATTCAAATTAAAACCATAACCCCCACTCCCGATTTTACCAATAAAAAATACAGTAAATTTTGCACAATAGCAATTATTTTCTCTTTCGAACAAGGCATCTGCGCGCTAGAATAACGCTTCGGATTTTTATTCATGCATCACAGTGAGAACAGAAGAAAACACTCCATTCGGTTACCCGCTAGAGAAGTTTTGTAAAGGCTCAAATTATATAAAAGATTCAATAGAACAAAACATATTTTATTAACATACATCACGATATGACTATGAAATCTAATACATATGCTCAGTATTGTTACTTCTTGGAGTTTTAATTTTTTCGAGATTTTTCGTAATCATATCATGTAGAGTAGCAAAATGATTGCGCATTTCAGTTAACACAAGACGAATATTAATGAACTGTTTTTCGTCCATATCCAAAATCGCACGTCGGTAGTCTTCCTAAACAAATGAATATTCCATGAACTTTCTTGAAAAATTTTAAACAAAAGGGATTCGTTAGGTAAGTACGAGCAACCGATGCATAAAAAGTATGCATAAAGAACAAAGATGATTCCATTCTTTACAGTTTCCAAAAACTTACTACATGTGGATATTTGGCTACTTTAGTTACCAAACGAGCACGACTAACAAAGTATCTGGACATTTGATCAAGAAATGATGCTGCTTCACCTTCAACCGTGCGCACCTAAAAAAATGAATTTAAGAGCAGTAAGTATTGCTATAACCCAGACAGAAATTTGTATGCTTGGAACAAAATTAATACTTCATTAACTAACTTAATGACAGAAATGAGTGAATAATTGAGTGAATCCTGAAAGCATTCAAATTTTTATATACCTCACTTAGAGCTTCTTCTTGAATAGAAACACCAAAATTATTGCCATCCTCAATACGTGGAATTAAAAATAAAATCCACATTTTGACCTGAAGCACTTTGACCTTGAATATGGTAAGATTAACAAACTTTACTTAAATGAAATCTGGTGTTCTTCTTTAGCTAAAGAAAAACACCAGATCCTATTCTGAATAAATAAAAGTTGTAATAAATCTAACTTTGTTGACCGCTTCAACTGAATCACGCAGTAGAGGTCTAGCAATATCCGTTAGACTGGCAAGCTGTTCATTGCACTTAACAGTTCCGCTAATAAAATTGTAAACAGATGTACCTGAAACATGGACTGCATTAATGCATACACTTTCCCTCTCACTTTTTTCCTGCTCTTTCAAAAATCATTCAATAATAAATTAATGCAGCAAATCCACAAAACTTAGTAGCACGAACCTTTTATAATTTACGAACACCTTAGAGACAGTATTTTCTTTCACATTATAGAGTTTGCAATAATATATGAAAATAATGATTAATCTTCAAGATTAGATAACAAAATATGAGTGAAATTAGAACCATGAAAAACTTCATTCCTGCTGTTATCAATTTTCCGTTTCTTCTTCAAAACTCCATCATCAGCATCATATTCATTTGAGTTAACTGCATTCTGTAATATATTAATGTTTTATGATAGACGCTGAACTTCAAAATAGTTCTCACGTACAACTCTTGCAGTTAAGATTTCAGCTCCAATAATTATACGATAACGATACCTTATGTTCCATTAATTGTTCTGAGTAAGGTATCCCCAAATTGATGCTTGGTAATATCTCTGGAAGCCGATCATAGGAGAACTGTTCGTTCTAAAAAAAAATTTTCATTAATATACGACGCTATCTTAAAAAATTGACAATTTAATATTTCGTAAAAAATATTGAACATGATCCTTCAATACAATAAAACTTTATTTAAATAGATTAAAGCAACATATATGAAGTGATTTGAGTTTCACAACTCTTTTCAACATAACATTTCGAAAAGCCACTAACCTCAAGCAAACCATTAAATTCCAGAACTTTCTTCGGGAATTCTTCCAAAACAATTTTTTCTGCCTCTTTCATCAACTTTTTCTTGTAAGTGTCAAGCTTGAAATTAATTTTTTACAATGAGAAATATCAAAAGTTTTTTGATAACTACGACACACATATACATTATATAAACTTACACCGCAAATGGCCGCACTTTTGGGATTCTTATCAGGTAACATCTTGCAGCATACGGTCTGGAAGATAATTTTGAGAGAAACTAAGGATTCTCCCCGTAGTTATTATAAAAAATAGAGAGAAGTATATAAATTCTAATATCTGCTTTATAATTTTGTAAAAACTAAATAGAAATGGAATAAATGGCTCGCTGACCAATCAAAAAACACAATATAGAAAAATGCTAAATCAACTCTTTATTAACTTTAAAATGAAAAAAAGAAAAATTAAACACTCAAGATTTTATTAAACACATTGAATTGTTAAAACTGATAAAGGTTAAAATACATTATTTGCTACGTTGAATAAAATACGATTAAATTATATTTTAAAAAATCTCGAACACGGCTTCGATCATGAGCAGTTTGATCATGCAAAAATCACACTTGAAGAGGCAAGGTGATCATGATTTACTTTTGCAACTTTTATAAATTGGTGTAAGATAATTCTGAAAGAATGATTAGCTGCAAGTTACTGAGAAACTTTGAACTGGAAAATATCAACGTTAGTTTCATAACATTTCCTTAAATTCAAATCACATGATCCAATTTCACAACGTCCGACACTTTGAAAATAATTCAATCCACGTCCAATTTTCACCACCCAGCCATTACTGAACCTAAATTAACAAGGATAAGCTGCAAAAGAAGAAATGCGTTTAGCAATATAAGGAGAACTACTCACACCTGATTTCTCTATCATGGAATTTATCGTCATAATTAACCTCCAGTTCGATATCGCGGCATGCTAGACTACTTTTGAGTTCTTTGAACATATCGACAGTCCTGGCATCATGATGAGTTCGCAAATGTATCTTTTTCAGGTTGGGTGCGTGTAACACAAATAACTCACAAAAACGTAAGAAATTCAAAACCTGAAATAAAAACCGAGATTTCACCTCCATTATTTTTAAGGTCGAGTGGAAAATTGCTACCTTCACTTTTTGTACTTGCCTTCAATTGTTTAAGCTCCTTTTTATGCTTTCAAAATGCATACTTGATATGGCAATCGTATGTAAGCATCATGAACATCAATCTGAGATAAAGTGATGTCAGCACACCGCTTAAAAATCCTTTCATATCCAAAACCAATCTGTAACAAAGAGGTCATCCATCCGTATAATAATAAAATATTAAAATAATTGATTAATTCCAGCACCTAATATAACACTGTATTTTTTGAATTTAAGGAATGCGTGATGAAATGAGGCTACGGTCTGTGAGCAAAAAAAATTGCAAAATGAATACAGCAAAATACATATAAATATCAACGTAAAAAAGTAAAGAATAACAAATATGCGGCATTTCTAAGAAAGTTTAAAAAACACCAATAAACTTGCCTTATTTATGAAATTCTGGCAAAAGAAAAGATATTCAGATTTCTGAATTATTCCATATTTCAATCCGGCAGTAATAACACTTTAACTCACTACAAGCTGCGATTATAATAATATTAAAAGGCGCTTTCCTCTAGACAAAATTACTGTATGTTAAATAATACATAAAATAAAGGAACAATTCAAAGTTACACTTAATAGGTGAATTAAAGAATACGTCGTTATGCTTGATATGAATTTGCTGTACCGAAAGTACTTCACGTTTGGTCTGTCCTTTCAATACCTCTGCTCGCATCAAATATTTAGAGATTTTTTCTCGTAGCAACTGCTTATTATTTTCTGTCGAATCATCACCTGAGTAAATTTTGAGATTAATACAAATTTAATATAGAAATTTTTATTTCCAGAAAGGATTTTTCTTATTTTCACAGAAAAATTATACAAAATGGAATTTCCACTTATATATCGATAAGTTTGGAAACAACCGTCAAATTACATCATTGTTTTTCAGATAAAATTTCTAATATGTTCAACGAAACTCTTTGCTTGTTATTTGCGTGGATAAGAAATATCTGTTAAAAAGAATTTTATCGTACCCAGGCGTAAGGAAATATGATCCTTAGTTGATACAGAAGATAGAACTAACATGTTAAAGCTTCCAGCAATAGGGATATGCCTTCAGCGTATTTCTCTATCGCTTCATTCTTCCTGTTATCTCGATCCAATTCAACTGCTTTCTGCAATGTTGGCCTACTTCTGCTGATGAATGTTTGCATCATACTTATCTCATCCTGCGTCCTTCGACTTATCCTTGCAAGATTCTACACCGAACTAACATGCAATTTACTAACGCCTGTAAATAACCGATAAAACACGTTAAATAACTCATGAAAAAGCATACAAGAGCATAATTATAACAGATAACAAAAGAAAGCGGAAGATTTTTCAGCGCGAAAAATTGATACTATTCAATGGAGCGCTAAAAAAATTTATTATAGATATTTTTGATATCAACAATTGATTTCTGCTTCTGTAAAAGACCTATTTTCTGTCGAATAAATCACCTTAGTGAATAAATGTCTAGGAGTAACATTTCTTACATGGTCAAGTCGTGAACACTAAAAATGAATTAGAAAAGAATAGTACGTTGCAAAAGTAACTGTCTATGTACTGAAATTGAAAAACATTTAAAAAATTCAAGTGTATTAAAATTATTGTTAATATCACTATGTAAAGAAGTTCTTACGGACTAGTAACTCTCAAAAATCTTGGATTTCTACACCTTATTAAGCAAGTTCAAAGAGCAATGATGATTATTTTCGTCGCTCATTTTTTTAAAGAACCTAAAGAAATTCACAGATGAAGAAGCACTAGCAAATAACACATTAAAAAGATTGTTATACAGTATTCACAGGATTCTATATTAATGCTGTCAAATTCAAACCAGCCCAGCTGTTGAATCAAACAAATGACCCGTTATAGTCACTTCCAAGCACACACTCAACATTTAAGAAATGTAAAACACTCCCTGGCATAATGCAATCCAACCGCCTTTTCCAGGACAAAGAACTTGTACAGACTCGGTTTACTACAATGATAAGGGAGGTTTTATTTTTTTCACAATTTTATGAAAATTTTTATCTCACTGGCCTTATAAATTATATAATGTTTAAATACAAATTTGATAAAAGCAATTCAGTACTTGTGTCATCAAGTTTGTTGTTATGCTACTAAAGACATATTTTAGACTTAGTGAATTCAGGTGCACCGGTGCAAAATAATGCGACAATATTTAAAATGTCATCTTTTTGTGGCTTAATTTTGGAAATCAAAACTTTCGGTCTTTTCCATGCTTAATTTCATTTAATTGCTGGTTAGTATTTCCACAACAATGGCTGTGTTCTACTTTCTTGCTACTAATAAATTGCTTTTTCCTCTTCATGTTATATGTATCCATACAATATGTAAAATGAATTACCGTCATGGTGATAGGTTTTACCGTTTGGTCTTTTTTTAGAATTAATTGCCAGCACTTGCGCATTTCACGAATAGCATTTATCACTTAGTTTTATTTATAATTTTAGGAATTGTATCAACAAATATATCCACGCGGAAACAATCGTTTAGGAAACGAACTTTGCCATAGCAACGCTTTGACAGCATGCGCTTGAGTTGCAATGAAATAAGTCTAATTATTTTCACTTCACATTTGCCAAATTAGCATTACCCAGCAGTGCGAAGTTCTGTAATGTGGTGCAATACTGCAGGTACTTGAATCAAATGAACGTGTTTAATTATGGTTTATTTTTAACCGTATTCAGTTGGCCATATACGAACTTTCAAACTTCATTAAAAAATGTCATCAGGAGTTACAGGTAATAGTGTTGTCAATAAAATCTACCGTTTTGCATCAAAATTTGCGAAAATAATTTTTGTCAACTACAAACTATTTAGTAAAAATTTGAAATTTATATATCAATTATATTATTTATATTGTTAATTCTTAATTTATTGACTTATCCTTGTTCAAATTTAAACCTTTCTACTGAAATAAGAAAAAAAAAAGAAAATGGTGCATTGAAAAAAACCCTTAAATTTGAATTCGGAATGTTGGTTCTATTGTTTTTCCTTTAAAAGTTTTCTTTTTTCTTTTTAGAATACGCGCATTGGATGTTATAGGTGGGTATCCAAGTTTTTTGATGAATATCTACGCATGTTATAATCACAGTAACAGTGATTGTGCTTTAAACTATTTGAGAAGAGGTATAACTCCGTTTCGAACTCTATCAACTGTTCTCGATCATAGTCCATTGTAAGTTGTTGCTGCTAACATTTAAAACTATAATATCTAAGACCTTCTCCTGTTGCATCTGATTAGGTCATTTTATTCATATTTCCAAATATAAAATCTCAAGTTATTCTAGCATAACAGGAGAATCAGACTTTATTTTCAGGATTGCACAATCTGTAAATTCAACAACTACTTTTTTGGATTGTACAAAAAAGCAAGTTTATTTCAAAAGCTCGGGTATAAATCTACATTAATTTAACATCATATTCTGTAAAAACTGGATGAAACTGCTCACAAACTATAAAGATTTTATATATTATGGTGCTTTGCTTTTTTTTTGTTTTCGAATTAGGACTATTTCTGCAATATTTGTATTCAGCATTAAGCAAATATAACAGGATAAGGTTTTTTCCTAATATAGCTTGTGCACATCAAGATTTCTTTAGCTATTTTTTCCTACACAAAATCATTCATCATTACTTCCAAGTGTTTCTATCACAATCTTGAAAAAAGTGGAGAAATATCGCTGACGCGAATGTGTAAGATAGTCATTTCAGGAATGACCCAAAATGTCAAATGAAGGCGAAGGATGTAATTTTGTTTTGCATTATATAATTTTATCTTTCAAAAATTTTGCAAGATAAAATTGAGTTTTACGAAAATATTGCATCTGATAGCTAAAACAGTCGTTACTTAAAATATCTCTTGTTTGTAATTTTTCTGTTGAATTTTATTCTCTTTTAGTTTATGATAAAGTGTGGTTGGAAAAAAATGAAAGTGTGCAATGTCTTGCATTTACTGATTAAAAATTTGATTATAGAATGAAAAACAGAACTTTGGAGAAATAGCAGTAAGAATTTCAAGAAAATACCCAAATAATTATGTTTATGGTGATGAGATACGTACGAATGGTGAACTTTCGGTCTTGAAACCAGGTATTTTATTGAAATTAATTAGTGACCAGAGTCAGTTTAACAGACATGTTTACTAATCCATAATATCAATTCTACTATGAAGTTTTCGGTGAGTGTTCCACTGTTTTTAAATTATTGGAAAAGGAAATTTTAGTTTTAGATGAGGCGGGGTTTTGCGTTCAATCATATCAACAACATATAATGTTCCAGATTAACTATACTGCTAGCTGTCGATGGCACTTTGATATGTTGGAGGTTTTTTATTTTTCTTAATTGATGATGGTTTGACTCTGGGCCAAAAAACAATTTTAGATCAAACTTCCATCAGTTGGAAGAGTACATTTTTAGGGCTGCAATACCAATAACCTCGTGAAATTTCTTTTTCATCAAATAAACAGCACTGCAGTTTGTGACCGAAGCGGGGCAGAATGTGTTATACCGATCTTGAGGTGAAAATATGGGAATTATGTATTGATTACATTTAAAAATATATTTGTATTCAGCATTGAGCAAATATAAAAGGATTAAGTTGTGCACATCAAGAGTCCTACTTTTTTCACAGAATTGTTCATCATTACTTCCATAAGTGTTTCTGTCACAATCTTGAAAAAGTAGAGAAATATCAGTTGAAGCAAATGGACAAGATAGTCATTTCAGGAATGACCTAAAATGTCGAATGAAGGCGAATGACGTAATTGTGTTTTGCATTATATAACTTTATCTTCTAAAAATTGTATATTATTTTTAATTTGTATCAATCGAATTACATTTTACCGGCAGCTAGGAATCCTGACCATGTGGCACAGAAGTTATTTTGAAGTCAAAATAATCAACTGACTCTCAAGTCTTATGCTACTTACATTGTCAGGGATTTATCATTTTTTATTGATTGTTGGAAACAATTTTTTCTTGTCAGTATATTTTTCAGCTTTCAGAGACAAAGCTACAAAATCAAGTAACCACAAATGTGATTACTACACCACAATGAGAGTTCGCTTAGCTACTCATCAAGGAAGCATCACTGGGTTGCTGATTGAGTATGTTTTCTAAGTTAATATTTAAAAAAAACTGGTTCAGAGAATCCGTTCTGTTATGAAAAAATGGATTTTGTCAATGAATTCTTTTCACTTGAACCACTGCTTGATATTCTTAAAAAGTGTTCCATTGGCTCTATTGTGAAGTTGTACTCTCTATTAATTTTATACGTGTGGTCCATCTACCGCTCCTGTTATTATATTGCATTTCATACTTTTTAAATGTGGATACTACAAACTTTAAGTTTTTAAGAAATCTTTTAAAATACAAAAATTTTAGTAAAAAAACAAGACTGTAAAAAAACTTTGTTACGTATGTTGTTATCACTTTTAGGTTAGCACCATCTTCAAGCACATGTCGCAGTGATTACTGCCTTCTAACAAGTGAGATAACATTCCATGAAGTTACACAGCAGCACATAATTAAAGGAAGAATGTCAAGGTGATTGGTTTATTTGTGATCATTCATTAGCACTTTGAGATCTGAAACAGCTACTTAAATAATGAAAACTGTTAAACTGCTTCAGCTTATCGGCATTATGTTTTTTAAGATATGATAACAGTGAAGGTCGTTTCCGATGTCCATCAGAAGTAACATGTCTCAACGAGCTCTTTTATCTCTTGCATATTTTGGACCCTGGAGCATTTTCAACACAGTTTTTGTCTTTGGTACTCCTTTTCTTGTCATTTCTCATTACATGTGTCTTTGCAAGATGCTGAAGTTTTTAGTATGTTTTCCTTATTTTCTGATTCACAGAAATGTCTTGTATTTGTGTAGAAAGATTACAAACTCATTTCAGGACTGCTCTAAACAGCCTGAAATGATATACACGATGAATTTCATGTATCACTGTGAATAAACGCCATTTTATGTAGTTTTTGTAAATTAAAAATATAAGGAGCAGACATCGATAATGCCTTAAGCAAAAAAGGAAGAAATAGCTTTCAAGATTTTCTATACTCGTAGTTATAACTTTCTTTACATGAAATTCATCGCTTTCAAAAAGTGACTGCAATATCTGCTGCAACACTGAAAGTTAAAACTGACTCAGTGCAAATTAAAACAGCTGTAAATATCAGTATCCTACCTTGCACACTAATTTTGGATCAGTAACTCATGACCACTCGACTGTTCGATGACGCTATCACTTTTTGAGATAGTTACTTTACGATTCACTTGTTTGTAATCCTTTCTCTTCAGCGCTTTGCGACGTTGATCTCTAGCAAACTGTAAAGAAAAGAAAGATCAAATATTTTTGAGCGAAATTAATCTTATATATTTTAGTAGTCGCCAATAATGCCAGTACTGTTTCTTACTTTGTGTTATAATGCTTTGCAAGGATGCTTCACTCTATAATTTGTAAGAGTAAAAATTTGTAACTACTGGTAATTTATGATTCCTGAAGAAGAACGGAGATAAAAGTTATGACTGTTTCTCTTCTAATTTTAAATACGGTTCTCTTAGCAATACCTTTTTTATTTTCTTTATCTGATATGATAACGATAATAAGACTATAAACCCTTTTGATTCCTAAACGTATGTGGCTCCATCTTTGCTGTATTTCTTCAATTGACTGCGTTCTGCAGAAATTTCTTGCCACTTTTGCAATTCTGTTGTCTGTTTCGTCCACAAAAAATTGAACTTTATAATCCGCATTGCTGTTGGTCATGACAAAGGGCTGAAATTTTAGTGGGCAGTACAAAGTGTAAATTTAGTTATATTTACTAGAAAAAGTCCTTAAGGATTACTATCTCAGATCAGGCACGCACTAATGCATATGTAAAGAATATAGTTGAGCTAATCAGACGATGTGAGATGAATAGCAATTGGGTCCAGAGTAGGTCGGGCACGCTTCAGACCACGTGGTTTAGTGAAGTGTATGGGAATTAAATTTTGAATAGCACTCAGTGCTAAAGTATACAGGGTAGGTAGGTGGGACGAGTCAGAATATTGAAATGAGTTACGATTGTGAAAATACGGTTAGACAGAGTGTGAGAAATAGATAATAACTTTTCTGCATACGACGCACGAGGGGCTTGCAAATGGCATAGCATAATGTGTGCTTCAAACTCTTGTCTACCGACTCTATGAGAAAAGAAAGAATGTGAATTTGGAGAGATGCCAGAGAGACAATAAAATAGTTCTTTAAACCAGGACAAATGAACATGGTGGCATGATGTGCGCTATTGAGAGTTGAATTGTTGAGGATAAAGGGGTTGTCAGTGTTGAGAGAATCTGGCTTAAGAATCAGCGGGAGCGGTGTTTCGAAGAAGCGGTACTGATCAGAAAATTGCGTTTTTCTCCTTTCTCTGAACAGAAGTTCGAAGAGGGGGCTTTTTGTTGGAGCTAATGGATTACAACTGCCATCTCTTAATTCGGCAATCAGCGTGATTTTTCGAGAATATTTTGCGTTTATTCACTTCTCTATTCAATTTCTCATTCACTGATTGATCTATTTATGGTTGATTCATTAATGTTTTCATTTGTTTCGGTCGTTGAGGCGTGGACGTTTTGTAAAGAGAGTTTAATTGTATGTAGAACCACTTATACATGTGCGTGATGCTTCATTTCTGGTCAGTAGCATCTGTATGCGACACAGAAACTCTTCCAACGCTTGCACTAATATTACCACTTGTGGCATTTATATAGAGTTTGATCGCAATCGCATGTTCTTAGCAGATGCACGGTTCTTGCGAAATGTTTTGAGTTTATTTATGACCTTTCCATATTTCCGTGCTAGACGCTTCCTGATTGGTAATGCTTCTTATGTGCGTAATGATGCTTTGTGTTTGTATGTTGACGCTTATTTGTACGTGATACCTACTTCAAAAGTAGTTGACAATAATATAAACATATTGTGTTTTATCTTGTCATCATCATCTTAAAAGAGTTCATTTTTTTTGAGATAATAGTGAATAAACAGTGAGACATAAATATGCAAACGCCATTCATTATTTATTATAATAAGCATCGTAAAAGTCATTGACAGTTATTTGCTACACAAGATGCTTGTGGTACTAATGATGCATGTGACTGTGATTGGCTACGTACATACGAAACATACTTACACAACGTAATAAGATCTTAGTGACGATCAATACCTGCAATAACTTTTTTCCACTTCCAAAGTCAAAGTGCACTTTCAAAGATTGACGAACTTTTATTTCTCAGTAGCTTTTACTTTTTGTGTCATTTCGTTCGTATGAATTTGATTTGCATTTCATTTCATCGCATCTGCTCAGTATAGATTACCTCGATAAAAAATTAAAGGTTTTACTTGTCTAGAATATGGATTTCTCTACTTAAAATGTATGCAAGCTAGCATCAGGCCATTAAAGTTATAGGTGCAGAGCGTTAGCACAATGTTGAATCTTCAAAAACGAATCAGTGGTGTAGACGAAGAAAAGGCATATTTAGGTACTCGTATATCTATTAGAGACAAATTACTTTCTCAAGGTTTGTTCTTGATATTTCTCTTTCAATCACTTAAGACATTAGTCGATGTTTTTCAATGAAAGAAAAAATGAAGTTATTTTTATGGTGTATGTTTATTAATGACTCGACGCATGCTTTGATTTTCAAGAATTAAAAGAATTGGAATCAAGTCTGAAAAAGGTGCCTTCGTGTAGACTGCATTTTCCTTCAACATCGGCATTACATCATATGGAACTTACTGTTAGTCCAGTTGAAGGCATTTATCAGGTATTCTTGTTGTAGCCTTCAATAAATAGATTTTAATAGTTTTTAATGATTTCAAACATAATAAAAATGATGTTTGTAGTTTGCAAAAGTATGGATAAACAGTTCTTTAGTAAATGTAAACAGGTATTTGAATTAATGGTAAGATTTGATGTAATTGAACGTGTTTTTCTATATTTGCCTGCCGTTATTTTTAGCCAAGTATCTTGGTGACATAGTGATTCTAGGGTGGTGTATTCAAATTTGTGATCACTGTACCTCCTGAATATAACAATGTTCCACCTGTAGTGAAATGTTTGACTCGTGTTTGGCATCCAAATATTACAGAAGAAGGTGCCATATGTCTGTCTCTTTTACGACAGAATAGTATAGATGGATATGGTATGCTCATTATTGAAGCTGCAGATGAAAACGAAACTGATGAATAATTACTAATTATTTCTTTGTATAGTTGGTAAAATGTGGAGCCAAATTATCCAATACTGTTCTTTCATAACGTTATGAAGTTATAAAATAGCAGCAGATTTTTCTTAAAGTTTATTGCTGGTTATTAATTCTAGGCTGGATGCCAACTCGTCGACTTATCGATGTAGTGTTAGGCTTGGATAGTCTTTTCACTGATTTAATTGATTTCGATGATGCTTTAAATGCTGCGGCTGCACAACAGTGGTCTACCAATAAGGTAGTTTAGTTTTTTGTGTGGGGATAACTTTTTTGAATTTGATGTTGTTGGTTTGTCCTTGCTCTTATAATCATGAACTGCACAGTTTGAAATACACCTTTATTTGGCGATTTATTAAAACAGATAGCATGTAATATACTTTTGTACTTGGTTTCAGTATTATACAATTTTTGCAGTCTTTACTTTCATGTTTTTTGGTTTTTTTTAGAGTCATCTTGATGTCTCAGTTGTGAACTGTATTCATTTTCATAATAACTGAGGTAATGCTACAAGTAGTAGTTATGTGCGTGTCTAAAAATACATGATTACCTGCAACATTAGCTAGTTGGTATTGCAGTAAGCATTGTTGTAACAAAATCATTCCAACTGTTTCTGCGAAACCCAAAAAGCATGGAAACTGAGATTAATGATTTTTTCGCTACTAACGCATTGCTCATTTTTTTCACCTACTTGTACTAAGAATTGCCTTCTACATAATGCTATAATTTGCGTCATTTGTTAGCAGATTTGAAATATTCTCACGAGTTTTTCTAATTAACGATTTTTATTTCTTTTTAAGATCTCTTTATTTAGTTTTTTCTCTCATCTGTAATTCAATAAAAGGTTTAACCATACTATTTTTTTGTGTACTCAATCTATTTCAGGAGGCGTATATCACAAAAGTTCGTGAATATATCATGCGTTTTTGTTCGTAAAATTTCAGAAGAGGAATAAGAAAGTTCCGAACCTTTCTGTACTGAATTTCAATCTTGGAAAGTGATCAAAAGGAAGTCTTTAAATTTCTTTGAACCGGTAATAATTCAATCTTGGATCTTGCATGTTACTTTGGCTTATGAATGATTATCGCTCTTTCTGCGTTTACTTAACATGTTCCAGTTACATATATTTTAAATATTTTTCATATGCTTGAGTAACTTATTGAAAATAATAGTATTAGCCGAAAGCTAAGCGGTGTTGCTTTTCTTCCATAAACTGTTCGATTAAGATTACCAGAGGTGTTTCATGAGTTTTCTGAAAATTGCGTTACTGTGATGTACTTTCTATTTCCTGGATTTTTTTTCACATTCAGTGCTGATTGATATTGACATTTAGAGCACATTTATTTTAGTTATATTCAGAGATCTTCTTTTACAAGATTAGCATATGTTTTATATCTGTTGGTACAACATTATATGTGTTCTGGAAATAATTGTCAGTCTATATGAACCGGTATAATTTTCGCAAAATATGTAATCTCATAATAATTATGTTGCTGCAATGAATTGAGTTCTGCTAAAACTTGGTGGTTGTATGATGAAAGTAAGATAAAATTTATATGGAGTTTATAAGAAACTTCTCATTGTCTGATTCTTCACCATTTTGAAAGGTGTATCCGTGAGAAGTCTGTTTTAGGTGAAGTAGTGTAATCTCACTGATATGAGTAGACACTTATTTTTTTTCCTATTATTCTAGTAGTAGTGTATGGATGAGGATTGTAGGTGAAATTACTTTCACTACTAAATTTAAACTATGATCTACTGTTCTGCATCATTCACTGGTTTACGTTTCGCATCATGAAGCATCTTGCAAGGGTTGCATAATGTAACATTTGGAGGCCATGGTTTCCATATTGATATTTTCGGTCATAATCTGAAGTAGCCAAGTTTAAATCATTCAAATCATCTAGGAAGTACAGTAATTAAATGATTCAAGATTCATTTTTCGAAAGATTTGATTACATGTAATGGTTTATCTAATAATTGCCTCAGTATTGCTTGAATTCTTCACGCGAGGGATTGTTGCGAAATCGGAATGCATGCAGATTACTGGAACATTGGTTTGTCCTAACAGACCCATACTTGCTGGAAATCTGCAGATTGACTTAATTGATGAAGACCGTAAGATTTGAGTTATTACTTTTACCAAAAGTGAATTCACAAGATTCATTCATTTAAGTTGACTGCTAACAAATGTAAGGAGATGCATCCTTTGTGCTGGCTTGGAATAATAGGACCGTCTTTCAGTTCTTGATACTTATGTTTTATTGGTAGGAATTGGTTTTTTGACACGACTTATATCATTAATTTTTTAAATAAGACTTTTGTCACTGGTTCTTGGTGCAGTGCAACTATTAGTATACTTAATCCAGTTTCTAGATGAGTAAATTAACCTCTGCGTCTCAGTTTGGATCAAAAACTGGCTTTGAATTATTTTCATTGAGTTGTACAGAACTCATACAAAACCTTGGTCATAATTATAAATATCATATACTTCATGTTAGCTGACTCTTAAAAATTTTCTACAGCATTACCTTGGGAAGTCGATGATCAAATGGGTCGAACATGGTCTCAGTCGAATGGATCGTTTCTACTTTCTGGATGTGGTGCTGATTTTGGGCCATTTAATTCACCTGATCCATACATCGTTGTTGAACACAAATGCCCCAGTATATTACATTCTAGCATTAAGTATCAAAATAGAACGAAAATGCAGTTTGCATTAACAAAGACTTTTCTACCGAAAGTTTTGAATATTGGTAAAGTTTTTCTGGATGATTCAGACTAAAAAATCTGTTCTTGGCGTAGTCTAGCAGAAATCGCTGAGATTGTAAAATGTAGTTGTAGCAGTGCTTAAATTCAGTTTAAAGAACTTTGAAGTTCTGGTGAGGAATTAAGGTATTTGTTGTGATCCATTTTTGTAATGGTTTATATGGGAGATGAGACTATCAAGTCACAGTGCTGAATGGTTAACTAGAAGTGATGAATGGTAATTAAGCATTAGGGATATTGCCGTAAATATGATAGTAGACAAAAAGGTTCTTTAGATTTTGTTGATGTCTTACAATTTTTAGATGCATATCAACATAAATTTGGATTTATTAGTCAAGGAGAGACCTATTAGATTTCAGTTATTTGTAGTTTGTTATAATTTACTCTGTCTTCTTAGGTACATTGGTAGTTTAGTTTATTTTGTGCCGTTAATGAGTTTTATTGCAATTTTTGTGAACCACATGAAATGTATGCCATGCGAAATAATTGTCATCCTTAGTGAATTTTATAAACTTCTTGTTTTCCCTGTATTAAATCAAAAAGTGCCAAAGTTTGATTGATATTAAACTGTTTAAATATGTTTGTTCACGTAGACACATACGTTTTTTACAAAAAATTAACAGTGCTCCTGGGACATAGCATAACAGTCAGTAAAGTTCAGAGATTTTTTTTCCGCCCAAAAAGTTGATGGAAGCAAAAAAGTCCCTTAACGCGGAGCATTATATTTCAAGGTTTCTTGTCCTGCAAGTTCTTCTACCTTTTTTCAGAAACAAAAAACTGATTAGAAAAGGAATGAGAAAGTCAGCCTCCTTTGCGTCCCTTGAAGTTGATCTCGAGTATTTATAAAGAAATTACGCGCGGTAAGAGTAATTTTCTCAGCAATTATTTTCATTTATGTACAGCACTTCTGTAATATTTGTATTTCTTGTGTCGCTAATATTTTTATACTGAAAAGAAGAAAAAAATCCGAGGAGTATTTAGTTAGCAGCAATAAAAACAGTTCACAAAATATTGTGTACTTTGTTTGCATAAAGTTACCTTCTCTATATTAAGGCAAGTTTCTGCTGGTTATCTATTCCTGCAGGCAGAAGGAACTACCACTGTAGAACTGGTTGAGGTACAAGGAAAAATATTTGCATATATTTGTTTATCTGACGCAGTGAGTACATGCCTCTTCACTTCAACGAGACTGATAAATAAGAGCAACACAAAACTGTCAGCAGTTGTAAATACTGCTTTCGATTCGTGTGTTGCTATCACACACCTTAATATTTATCACAGATATGGAGAATTAGCTACTTGTGCTGGTGACCGCTGCTAAAATACTAATGTTATTAATTACTGTCATGAGCTACTACTGCAATAGTTACTGCTAAGTTATTACTGACATAATTTCCATTACTGAGATTAATTCAGAAATTGGATGTAAATGATAATATCCAAGCAGTTGATAAGTGCCTCGTTACTGTTTTTTTTAGTATTTTTAGTACTGCTCACAAATGGGCAACAATTCTTGAATTCCATTGACTTTATGAATGCGCAATTTGTCAATATCACTGAACGCCTTCAAATTTCCCAAAATGACCAGCATTTCGCACTAAAGGTTATTTAAATTTTACAGCCAGCTCCATACTTAATCAATTTCACGACTATTTTTATAGAATAATTCAGTAATCACTTAATAAATTTTAGCGACAAAAACGTGGTGGTTCAACAGTCATCTATGAAAATGATAAGTGGCCAAGAGGACGAATTCCATACGTAATTTCCTCCTCTTATAGTAAGCATAAGCATTAAATTTCTATACTGGAAAATTATTAGGAATCATGTTAACACCAGAAGTTGGAAAATTTCTCAAACTTCAAGTCATATATTAAGAACAAAAACTTATCATATTCACCCAACAACATCTGACATTATCATGAGAAATTTTTAGGCAAGCAAAGTACACAAATCTAAATTCGAAAAATTATTAAGTACGATTCTTTGAAATTGCTCCTAACTAGTCAAATAATAGCTAATAATAATAGTGTCAGAATAGATGCTAAAGAGTGATTTTTTTTTAAAATAGATCCTTGCAGCTTTTTCTCAACGTGCTATTATTGCCCGTGCAATAACAGCCTACACAACACGCACATGCATACGTTTCACACCAAAGCAGTCATTTGATATGGATTATATTATTATTGCGAAAATTGATGGGTATAAACATATATTTGTTTACATAATCTTATGTAAATCACGTTTACATTTTGAAAGTTTGTGATGAATACCAAATACTAAAAATATGACGATAAATTTTCTAAACCTTGTAATGATAATTATAATGACCTCAATAATAGCTGAAAATTTTTGGATAGTAACAAATCACTCAGAAAATAAAGGTAGAGCATTAACAAATATATATATATAAAAATAAGGCAAAATTTTGGCATCCTTACCCAACAAGTAGCCAACAAAGTCTTTGCAGTATCACTTCCGGAAATGCATCCATATTTTCAAACTATACAAATTAAGGGAACAAATCTTCAGAATTAATTTCAAGTAAAATACAAACAAATACCTAATTCACTGACTAATTATTAGAAACAAAATTTCAATTAAATAAGACTTAAGAAAGACATATAAAAATATATATTATGACCGTAACCTCACTTACATATCCAAACTTCCTTTTCCCTCAAGATCTCCTTCGCAACAACTGGAATGCAGTTTCTAGTTTTACATCAGGTGTTTCGCTGATTTTGCTCACGTTGGAGGTCCACAACAAGTGTCATTAGCAGACGAATGTTTGAGTTACGCCACAGTAATACATGAACTGATGCACGTGATAGGCTTCATTCATGAACATCAACGTGATGACCGTGATTACTTTGTCAACATATTATGGCAAAATGTTGTACCTGGCATGTTCTATTTTCATCTTACGACTATCAACTCTAATTTCTTTACTTAAAGCAGTCTCAAAATGAATTCTGACAATTAACTGCACTATTCTGACAAGTAATTAAGACACAATTTTACAAGCCAGTCCACGTTAGTCACTTACTACCAATACTATGGATATTCGCATGCGAAGCTGCATTTACAGTGCAAAAATATTAAACGCAATTATCAGTTGTGCACCAATAAATACAGGGTCACATAAAATACTCATGGCACAAAGATTCAGCTAAAAAAAAATATAATTCCTAGAGAGTAAAAGGAACAATGTCTGAAATGCATTACGCCATATCACTCTCGTTAGTATTTTAGCTTTTTCAGGTGCTCACGCCGACTTTGAGAAGCTGAATTCAGCAAGATTATCATATTACGGTGAAACTTACGATTACTTCTCCATCATGCACTACGACTCAACAGAAGGTAGTCGGAATGGACAAAATACACTTGAAGCTAAAATTCATGGAATTACACCTCTCATGGGGAAAAGTACTGACCTATCATTAAGTGATATTAAGAGAATTAATCGTGCTTATAACTGCTATAACTTCTTGACATATGTTTAAGTAGGAAGTACTCCATAAGTGAAACAACAACAAATACGTTAATAGATTTAAAAAATTTTATGATAATGCTTAAGTTTTAACTAAATAAATCAACAAATAAATGAATCAATTAATAAATATCAATATATATATATATATTAACCAAAATGGTTCTTGCGAGCTAAAATGAAAATTAATAAAAAGTGATGCGAAGTGTGTCATAAATCGGAGTGTGTCATAAATCAAAATAACTCGACAATATAGATGTCACCACTTTTCCTCTCCGAAATCTAACATGAGAAACAAGTTAAATCTTCGAAATAGGAATATATTCTAGACGACATATTAAATACTTAGTATAAAAGACTATATAACTCAAATCATGGCAAAATCATAAGTAATGTAAATTATGCAGCATTTTCAACACAGAAGGCAATAAAAAGTATACACTTAACTGATCATTCCATCAATGTAATTTTGGAGTTCATTCAGCACCCTAATTCGTAAATCGTTTACAACAGGAAAATCAAATACAAGGAAAAAAATTATCGTAAATAAATACAAAAAAAAACTCTTCGGTTTGACGGTATAAGTCAGATATTTGCAGATTTTGAAAACTGAACACGTTCCACTTTCACTTGATCGTCAATTAAGCGATAAAGATATGTTATTAAAGTCCCCATCTGCACATCTAATAATGCAAACGATGGTATAACTTGTCTGAAAAATTGATTTCATTGCACATCTTGAAAATTCATAATACCTGTTAAATACTATTTTTGTTTGAGTTACTGATATGGCTTACTGATTATTGAGCACTAAAATACATTATATAAAAATAAAAATATTTACTTTTGGATTGCTGAGAAAGCTCCAGTTGCTGAGCCAGGATTAACATAAAATCGGCCTTCATTTTGAAAAGTTTGACATTCATGTGTGTGCCCAGTTATCATAACATCCACATCCAACTGACGAGCTAACATTTCTAGCCTCTTAAACTTTATTTATTTTAGCCGAATAATAGGGGAACTGCTAATTTTTTTGAAATTCTCAATTAAGAAAGTAAAATATGAGGTCAAAAAACTACCTTTCTGTCACCCCACGGCACAACCTGATGACCGTGACATAATCCAATCCTAAAGAGGCCAATGGTGATAACCTTTGTGTCTGGATAATTTGACATAAAATCATCGAAATCTCCTCGAGTCTAAAAAAAATTAATCTAACATAAATTTCTAGCAATGGTCTTTATTTCAAGTATTGCTTTTTTAAACATTTTCTATCCTTTTTAGCGATTCACTGGTACAGAGAACATATAATTTAAAGAGAAAAAAAGCAGGACGAGATTTTACTCAACTTTTTGTTCTATCAAGAGATAAACCAAATCTAAAACATACTGGAAACAAGAACGCCTTTTCATATATCTTAGATGATGAGAATGAGCACAATATGCAAAATATTTGTATGCCAAATTTCAAGTCATTTAATATATCTATCAGGATTGGAACTAACCACATGTACATCAGATGCTAAAGACTTCATATAATCGAACGTCTCACGCGTACATAAATTTCCAGTACATAAAATATGCTGCATTTTATTTGGAACCAATAATTTTCGGAATTTTACTGGTATATTGTGACTACGGTGTGGAATGTGGAAATCGCCAATAACGAGAACCAACTGAAATAATTTATAGAGCAGAAATTATAAATTATTTAAAACATTAACTGTTTATACAACAATTGAATATAATCTTGATAAAGAGTTTGGCTTTTTCAATTTATAAAAAGTTCTAGATATATAAATGTGGAAAAAACAAACCATGACAAAAGTATTGTCAAAAGTTATGATAGATCAAATTAGTTCCAGAATAGCAGCTTTTTATATAAATTCCAAAACAACAGATATAGAAAGGATTGTCAAGTATACCAGGTCCTTCATTCCATTCACAAAAAAGTAAAGGCGAAATAATTAAGAAAGCATTAATTAAAAATCACACAATAACAATAATGACTATTATAGTAGTACTGACAATCACTAAATGATAAAGTAAATATACTAATAACAACTACACATTTAATCTTCTATATAATCTCGAGAAATGGAACTATTTATTGAGAATCATAGTTTAGATTGAAAAACCACTGTATATCAAAGTTTCGTTGCACACATATTTACCACTACTGTAACTCTATTCCTCTGAACAATACTTCATTACTACAATTCTTACACATTTAAAAATTGCAGAATCAGAGCTTTACCATAGCATAGCATATATTAATTAGCAGTCATTATAATGGAAGAGCGAGAAATCCCAAATTCGTGGCAATAAACCAAGTGATAAGACTTTCTCTTGACGCAGAAAGGTTACTCAAATGCTTCACTTGCAAGGTGGAAACTGACTGACCCACTAGCCTTGAAGCACTGAATGTCTTTTGAAACTGAGTTCTGAAAAATCAAAGAAACAGGAAGATAACGCAATACAACACAGAATGCGGTGCGAAACTTTTGAGGAAAGTGTGTGCAAGAAGGCGTGACAAAAAACCCCATCAAGACGATCGAAGTTTTGAGTAAGGACAGAAAGGATGAGTAATTGCAGATAAGATAGGATCTTGACGAGAAATGTCTGAGAATGAAAGGTCAGTCGAGAGTAAATTTAGGTCACAATGTTATTGTGCGCGGGTTTGATGTTGTGTGTTTATGCTGCTGAAGGGCTCAGTAAGCAGAGTTCAAGTTTGAGTAAGGGCAGAAAGGATGAGTAATTGGCGCGTCCTTGAAGGATTTGTACCCTATCAGAATATACTGCAAGTATATGAAGCTCTCACAGCACATGACCCTACGCGTAACTCCCCATTTTTCTGCAATTTCCTTCATAAACTCTCCAATTTTTTTTTGCACACTGTGACAGTTCGTATACTATTAATGTAAAGTACTGTACGTAACGAGACATTAAAGTGACTACGTCATTTCGTTCCATTACTAGTTTCACACTCGCAACAAGAGTAAAGATGCTTTAGCCATTAATTAAATACACTGCTGCGGGGGCTCAGTGAACAATCCTGTGATAGGTATTTACTTATAGTGTGTAAACAGTATTCTTGATCAAGTAGTGTTCTTTTCCCTACACGTGACAGTGACGTAACTAGCGTTAACTCGAACTTTACAGTATCTATATTGCATACCATGCAATACATGCGACTCGCAAAGGCTGCCTTCGTTCCGTTGTTATAGAGAAACATAGGATTGCTCCGAAGTGTGCAACTGAGTCGGTTGCGATACCTCGCAAATGCGATGAAGCATGCTGTTAGAGTGAATTTAACTCTTTTCCTTTGTTCTCTCCCTTCTGAAGCATTCGTCACTCACAAACGGTTTCTATTTCAATCGTAATTACTACACTATCCCCGCGGCATCGCGGTCCCTTAGCCAGAAATGATCGTAGTACGGTTAGAACTGCAAGACATCGAAACGAGTATCGCCTCGTGTCTTCTCGCAGTTACTCTGCGGTTTCTTGCCCAGGCCCTTCAATTTGACAACTAGACAATCGATACTTGACTGAGTATCAACCATCTTCTCCGTCCTAAGCATCAGACAACATAGTTTGTTTTACTATTTTTGTTCAAGTACTTCATATAGCTCAGATAGGTAGCACCGTTACCTTTATGTCCCTGTACTCCTCATGCTGTGCTTGGAATTTCTCTTGGAGCATGTGACAGTCTATCCTAGAACTACCGTTCACTTTCATTGATGAACTAAGGACAAACATATCGCATTATTTGGGGAAGTGCATATTTGTTGCTGAAACTACTATCCTCAGTCTAATTTTCTAACATTTATACTTTTTTTGACTACTGGTTAATTATTTTGCATTATTATGGCTTCCATGTTCTAATGCTAATGGTCTTATTGTGATAATGCGTGTGATTACACCAAAAATACCAAAAAACCACAAGATATGACTTTATGGTGGAAGAGATGAGTCGCAGGAATGACGAGAAAGGCAATGCAAATGATATGGAGAGTAAAGAGATCAGGCAGAAGAACTGTTGTGCACGGGGGGAAACAGACGAAAGAGTGAATGTCGTGTGCGTGAAATAGAGACGTTCTCTGTCCGTGGGGGTCAGTTTCCGGTTCTAAAACATTATTCGCTCGAAATAAGGAGCGGGAAAATCGTTCTGCTTTTTCTAGTTCATGTTTTTGTTGACAAAAAATATTCCATGAGCATTGCCACAGTTCTAGTTTACTGTGTTATGACGTCCACAACGTTGTAGAATAATTATGAACACTATTTCTTATGGTTAATATGAA